CTAAAGTGGTAACCTGTAAAGGCTTTTAAAGCGTCGCCTATGGATAGTAAAATTTATGTCACTTTTTACTATTGCACAGACTTGTGCAATTTTAAAGCGTGACATGTTTGGTATCTATTTACTTTGCCTAACATTAATCTTTTACATTTTACCAAAAAAAGTGTATTTTTTCCCTAAAAAATTTACTTTGAAAAAAAACCATGGTGCAAATGCTGTGTGACAAAAAAATAAATAAATAAATAAATAAATAAATAAAAAAAAGTAGCAACATCCACCAATTTCTTCTTTAGGGCCTCTGCATTAGAAATATGTTTGGGGGTTCTAAGAAATTTTCTAGCAAAAAATACTAATTGTTACATGTAAACATCAAGGGCCAGAAAAGGCTCTTCAAGTAGCTAATGGAGCAGACACTGGAGCTTGATTTGGCTGTTCAGCAGGAGCTTGTACTGAGCACCCAAGTGCTTTCAGGTGTGAGGGTAACCTGAAGGAATAAAGTTTTTTTTTTTTTTTTTGTTTCAATGGGGCTGGCGTCTCATTTACTCGCTCAGCAGATGCTCTTCTAAGTGTTAGTGGATTGGATACAGTTTGAACTGCATCAAATTTGCATGACATGGAAAAAAAAAAAAAAAAAACACTGCTTCCTATGGTGCCTGTTCACAGATGTCCGGTGCACTGGTGGTGCAGATTCATTGCGGTTTGAAAAAGAGTCATGTACGGTTTGTGAGCAGTGCCTTCAGGTTCAGGTGAGGATTACAGGCTATTGACTTCTACGGGAACCATTTCTAAACCACATATGTGTGAACAGAATAAGATCCTGACCTAATCCTGTCCTGAACCTAAAAGCTTCAATCTGCATTGCACGTGTGTGAATCGGCTCGACAATACCCTTTCTGGACAAGCACCCAATCTCTGCTTGTCACACTGCAAGATCTCTCCCCTCCCTGCTAATCCCCTGGGTGTGGTGCTGAAGACAGGCAGGGAAGTGAATAGGAGATAAACAGAGTGATGTTGATAACATTAAAGTTTAAGTTGCCATAAAGTCCCTTTCATTTTTAAAAGCCCCAGACATTCCTAAAAGCATCTCTGCCTAATAAAAAAAAAAACATCAATGCTTCAATAAAGACCCTATGTAAACACGGTTTTGGGTAAAATGATCATTTTGATTTTTTTTTTAATCAGGGCAAGTAGATTGTCATGAAGGACAAGTAGATTGGGGAAACGATTTAGTCCCCTGGACAAGTAGTTTTCTAAAAGATTTCCACACCTCTGTATCAGTAATGTGCAATTTTTCATGCACTGTGGTGTGTTCAATCAATAGGCTGGCCTAAAGAACCACACATTATCGCATGGCAACAGATGACTTTAGTGTGGCTGGACCTTAACAGGCCCCAAAACAGTGTTGATTTAAAGAAGCATTCCAAGTATGGCATTTTTTTTTTCCGGAAGTTCACTGCTCCAGCTTGGACCAATGTAACTATGTATATACCATACTTGTGGGATCCCCCTACAAGCTGGGAATCACTACAATAGACACCACTATTCCAGTGATCTCCAATAGCTTATGGGTCCCACGCTGAGTGGCTGCCCTGCTGCATTGTGAGCACAGGAGACTGGCTTCTGGGCACGGGTGGCAAACAGTAATTTTCAGCTTCTAGATAGATTCCACAGTAATATACATAGTTACATTGTTCCAAGCTTGACCAATGCAATGAAGTAAAAAAAAAATACCATACTTGGAAATATTTTTTAAAAGTGGTTGTAAAGACAGAAGGTTTTTTTTTTTTTACCTTAATGCATTAAAGGTAAAAAATCTTCTGAGGCTTGCTATGGGGGTACTTGGAAGGGGAATGGACCCAGAAACACTGGTGGGGGGGAAACGAAAAGGAAGATTGGGGCTGCTCTGTGCAAAACTGTTGCACAGAGCAGGTAAATATAACAGGTTTATTATTAAAAACAAAAACCTTTACACAGCACCTCATTGGCTGGATACCTCTTCTTCACGGATTGGCTGAAGTTTGTAGGATATGGCTTCATCTCTAGCTATCATCCTCCAAACCTGTCTGGGAACAGCGGCACCAGGGCCCAAAAGTGATGTTTTACACATTGCTTCCGGGTCATTACCAGGAAGGGGAGATTAGTGGCGGCTGAGCCACACGGTTACAGTCTCCTAATCATTACCCATTATTCTGCAAAGGCACTGCCAATGTAGTACAACCGCTATTGCCATACTATGGTAGTAGTGCCTTTGCATAATGGGGAGTGGTTGGGGGATGGTAAAAGTGTGGCTCAGCCGCACATTTTAATGTCCCTCAAACACAAGTGCAAAGAAGAACAAGAAGCATCTCACTGTGCTTATGTGATCGTTATCATTATGATGATGATGATCATCAACAATGTACAGAGGGTGCTGTATGTCTGCATACAGACATTTGGCTGTATCTCTGTCTGTGCCTTAAAAAACAGAAATTCTGAGCTTGCCTGTGCACCAGGTTCCCATTGTTAGTGCAGCGCTTATAGGAAAAATATATATAATAAATATTGTGAAGTGTAATTCATACCTTAAAAAGTGCTAAGCAGATAAAGTGTCAAAACCAAAAATGATAACAATATCTATAAATCAATATAATGTGCCTCTCACTCAAAAACCGTGCACACACACTAAATAAGATGCAGAAAACCCCCTCAAATCAAAGGGGTTAAAAAAAGGTGCTAAAGTGCAATAAAGTGTCCACACTTCAAAATACTCAAATGATCAAAAAAACGTCCATAAACAATCTATAGGTGATATATGAATTCATGCAATGTGCAATAGTGTTTTGCAATTCCGTGACTGTGTCACACTTCTTCTATTACGGCTAGATTGCCTCCTCACCTCCTCCGGGTGACCCCAAGGGGCCAAACCGCTTGCAGGATCACCCTGGATCCTTAATCATAAAGGCTGGCAACCTTCCTCCTCCAGTGGATCTCCTTATGGGGCTCCGTTGCCCCTGGTCAGACCAGGAGTTTCTAAAGGACAATAGCTCACCAGCCCAGTGAGCCAAGAAAAGACCCTCTAAGTGCAGTATTATTAGAAACCAAGACTCCTTTATTCAGAAAAGAAGAATGCCACTCACATGTCCTGCAGTTCTCCCTCCTCACCGATGTGTGGGTATACTGCATGTGAGTGGGACTTCCTGAGTGTACCAAGATGGCGTCGAACGCCGGAAGTGCGTCACCGCGCACCGGAAGCTACGTATTAGCTGGTACGCTAATGACTAGTGGTAGTGACGGGCCCTGGTTAGGGTGTCAATGCAAACTATGGTGTCTGTTTTCTAATAAAAGGAAACATAGTACTTTTACACATTTTATTTCTTTTGTAGTCAGAAGTAAAAAAATAAAAAGTGCTTCAAAATGTTTTTTTGGTCAGTTAATTATGAAATAAAAAGGAATTTGTACTTGCCTGTAAATTCCATATCATGGAGTACAGCACAACGGACAGGCAAAGTATTCATAGTCCTTGAGTTATAGGCTTGTAAAACCCCAATTCCAAAAAGTTGGGACGCTGTATAAGATCTACATAAAAACAGAATGCAATGATTTTTAAATGTCTTAAACTCATCTTTTATTCACAACAAAAATAAACATAACACATGTTTAAACGGAGAAAATGTTAAAGGAAAAAAAAAGTAATGTAACCCTGGAATTGGTGGCTGCAACTTGTCTCAAAAAACTTGGGCATGAAGAACATTTTAGCAACATTAGCAACTAATTAGGTTAATTGGCAACAGGACAGTAATATGATTGTGTATAAAGAGCATTCTGAGAGTGTATCAGAAGTACAGATGGGCATGAGTTCACCAATCTGAAAAGCTGCGTCTAAAAATGTAACAATTTCAGAATAATGTTCCTCAACAGAAAATTGCAAAGATTTTAAATATATCATCATCTACAGTATATATTATCAAATGATTCCATCAATTTTGAGAAAACTCTATGGCAAGGGACACTGCCAAAATGCAATACTGAATGCCTGTGATATTCAGGCCATCAGACGTCATTGCATCAAAAACATGCATTATTCTGTGACATCACTACATGGACTCAGGAATACCTCCAAAAATCACTGTCTGTAAATACAGTTCGCTGTGCCATCCAAAAATGCAAGGTAAAGCTCCATCATGCATAGAAGTCATATCTGAACATGATCTAGAAATGCCCCCATCTTCTCTGGGCCAAAGCTCATTGAAAATGGTCTCTTGCAAAGTGGAATAACTGTTCTGTGGTAAGACAAATCAAAATTGGGCATTTTTTGGCAACCATGTGTGCTGTATCCTCCGGGCTAAAGAGAAGAGTGACCTTCTGGCTTGCTCAGCACGCACTTAAAAAGCCTGTATCTCTGATGGTATGGGGGTGCATCAGTGTGTGTAGAGTGGACAGCTTTCACATCTGGAAAGGCACCATCAATGCTGAAAGATATATCCAGGTTTTAGAGCAGCATCTGCTCCCAACCAGATGTCTTTCATTGAAGGAGTTTAATATTTCAGCAGGTCAATGCTAAATCGCATACTGAATCTATGAAAACAGCATGGCTTTGTAGTAGAAAGTCTGGGTATCCAAATAGCTTGCCTGCAGTCCTGATATTTCATCAATTGAAAACATTTGGCACATCTTTGTCTTTACAAAAATAATCTAAAAAGGTGCACAAAAAAATAAAGTCAACTAATATTAAACCATAATGAACAATGTGCATCATATAAATGGTGAAACAGCTTTCCCATAACATATAATTCACTTGTGCATAACAAAGAAGAAAACTTCAAAAATAAATATATCAAAGTTCAAATGTGAAATCTATGACGGACTCAAGGTGGTTCACTCGTTCTGGGAGGACGTCATATGACGTCCTCCCATTCTAACCGCGCATGCGCTGCTCCCGGAGTGCAGCGATCGGTGGTGCGCGGTGTCCCTCGGACACAGCGGATCACCGATCCACGGAAAGAGCCAAAGATGTTGGCTCGGTCATGTGATCAGCTGTGTCCAATCACAGCTGATCACATGTAAACAGGGAAATGCCGGTTATCGGCATTTCTCTCCTCTCGAGCTGTCACGTTGGCAGCTCGTGAGGAGAGGAGAGCCGGTAATCTGCATTCCTCGGAGGGGACATGTACACAGATCAGAGCACTGATGATCAGTGTGCCCTGATGATATGTGTAGCCCCAGCAGCGCCACCTGTCAGTGTCCATCAGTGCCAGCTCTCAGTGCTCATCCATGCCACCTGGCAGTGCCCATCAGTGTCACATTTTAGTGCCCATCAGTGCCACATCAATGCCACATATCAGTGCCCATCTGAGCTGCCTTTCAATGTCACCTATCAGTGCCACCTATCAATGCCAGTCAGTGCCACCTATCAGTGCTGCCAATTAGGGCCGCCTATCATTGCCCATCAGGGCTGCCTATCAGTGCCATATATGAATACTACCTTTCAGTGCCCATCAGTGATGCCTGTCAATGCCCATCAGTGCCACCTACCAGTGCCTCCTCAGCAGTGCCCATCAGTGCCTCCTCAGCATCAGTGCCCATCAGTGCCACCCATCAGTGCAGCCCCATCAGTGTGCATCACTGCAGCCCATCAGTGTGCATCACTGCAGCCCATCAGTGTGCATCACTGCAGCCCATCAGTGTGCATCACTGCAGCCCATCAGTGTGCATCACTGCAGCCCATCAGTGTGCATCACTGCAGCCTCATTAGTGCACATCAGTGAAGGAGAAAAATCACTTATTTACAAAAGTTTATAACAAAAACTAAGAAAAAACTTTTTTTTTTTCACAATTTTCAGTGGTTTTTGGTTTGTTTAAGAAAAAAATAAAAAAACCAGAGGTAATTAAATACCACCAAAATAAAGCTCTGTCACAAAAAAAAAAATTATAAAAATTTCATATGGGTACAATGTTGCATGACTCCGCAATTGTCATTCAAAGTGCAACAGCGCTGAAAGCTGGAAATTGGCCTTGGCAGGAAGGGGGTATAAGTGCCCTGTAGGCTAGTGGTTAAAGTTCACGTGTAAGAATCCCAAACCACCTCAGACAAGCATGCCAGTTCTCTTACCAAATGGTAATGAACTCCAAATGATAACAAATCAACATCGCAGAAATCATCCAATTGGGGGGGGGGGGGGGTCTCCTCCACCTCCACAGTACTTCACTCGTTTTCCAAAGCAAGCACGTCAAAGTAATAATGGGTAGGACAGAGAACAAAGGACCATTGAGTAGTATGCTAAAGCCACATTGATCCATGGTTGACCAGGGATCAGCAGTGGATGTAAATCATCATATGCCACTGACCTCAGCACCTGGGAAACTATTCCTTTCCCTGCCCCATTGCTGGTTTCAAGGGAAGGAATGGTTTTCCATCATTGGTGGGAAGAATAGTGCTCTGCCATTGGTGTCAATGGAGGGAATAGTGCCTCATCAGTAGTGTCTGGTATCAGTGACAGAAATTATGCCCCGTTGTTGGTGTCAGTGGGAGGATTAGTGCCCCAAGGACCAGATAAAGGCAAGCAAAGGGCCACATCTAGCCCCTGAGCCACAGTTTGGAGGCCACTGCTCTACATCATCCACACAAAAGAGAATAAAAATGCCTAAATCATGGTCCTGGAATACAGGTTCTTGCCTTTGGTGCAAGGGAAGCATCATCATTTCGAGGTTAAATGATAAGTTCACCTTTTAACAAAATAATGCACATTTTTTTCCAGGAAAAAAAAAAAAATATGTATTTACTATTTTTTGTTTTGGGAGTCTGTAAAGCATTGCACCAGTGATCGGCAGTTCACTGGTGCCACGTAGGGCTCCTGCAGACCTGTCAGTGTATCTGTGTGTTCGTACCTCGTATGAGTAAGTAGATACACTCTGACGACAAGAATCAATGAACTTCCACAGCACTTAACAGTGCTCTGGTAGTTCATTGAAAACTACAAGCCGGCAGCTGCAAAGGCTGTCAGCACTTGTAGCTTTCAATTCACAGAATACTGTGAATGAGTGATGCGTCAGGAGCCTCGCACCGCCACTTTTAAAAAAAAATTGTGACAGCTAGTGGGGGGGGGAGGATCCTCCGCTAGCTATCACAAGGGGGGGGGGGGAATCAGGGCTAAGTCCTTTCATAACATGTTACACCCTGTATACGGGTGTAACATGTTACAAAAGGTGAACTGAAAGGATAAGTATAAGGTAAGCACCCCTGCAGGATCCAGAGCCTGAAACAATAAGGTCATCCCCAAAGCGAGGGGTCTAGAGATACAGCTCCCTAGGATTTAAGGAGGCTGTGCCAATCCATATGCTTCTACTTTTGATATTAGAAGTCAGTGAAGGAGAGGATTGAAGAGTTTAAGAATCTGAAAATAAAAAAACAAAAAAAAAACAAAAACACACAGTTAAGCCAAGAGTGATTTCTCCAAAAGGGAGAGGAGGTCTAACACCTTGAAAACACTACCAATATAACTGAGGATTCACGGACTAGGGTAGGGTTTCAGGGGAGGTGTTCAGGGGTTGTCCTTGAAAGCTTTTCCAGTATCCAAAACACCTAAAAAAGGTAAGAACCTATAACCCAGGGTCTATGAATAACTTTGCCTGTGTCCTGTACGATTTAGATTTATGGCTTTTTTTTTTGTCTAGCATGTGGAGCTCTTGGCTTCTTCCCAACTGTAGCGCCAAGTACTTTCAATCTTTTAAAAGTGCCTCTTTATGGGCTTCATAGATGCAATTTACACAAGGGTGACTTATAGAAGTGATACATTCCTTATCAGAAGGCTCCCCCAAAGGTTTCAGTCAGTCAAAAGGAGTAGTAAAGCAAGCAGTGCCTGCTAAGCTCGCTCTAGTTAAACTGTAATATTCTAGAAATCATTTGCCATCTAATAAATATTAATTTGCAAAACAAACATTGCAAGTAAAAAACAATTCCAGCACACACACTACATGCCATTGTACAGTGTGCTATGACTACAAGGAAAGCCAGAGCACAGAGAAGGTATGATCATGCATATCTGAATTGAATGTCTGCTCTGTGACAGGATTCCCCCACAAAAAAATATATTAAACGATGTTTTACCAATGAAGGAGCACGATATTGGCATGGGGATTAAATGCCTCCTGACCATTAATGCAATCATCAATACAGAGAGAAAGATTCCTTTAAGCAGAGACTTGAATCTGAAATGTCGGTGTAGGACATACACTATATTGCCAAAAATATTGGGACATCCCTCTAAAATCATTGGATTTAGGTGTTCCAATCACCTCCATGGCCACATGTATATAAACCCAAGTATCTAGGCATGCAGACTGCTTCTACAAACATTTGTGAAAGAATAAGTCGCTCTCAGGAGATTAGCGAATTCAAGAGTGGTACCGTGATAGATTGCCACCTGTGCAATAAGTCCATCTGTGAAATGTCCTTGCTACTAAATATTCCATATTCAACTTTTAGTGGTATTATAACAAAGTGGAATAGAGGATGTGTATAGGGCGCATCTATGGAGGAGACTGTGGACAGGGAGTTGTCAGTCAAAGATGGAAGAGGATCTGGAACACATGCACTGGGCAGCACTTCTGGGAGTTGAAGCAGACTCTGTATGTAGAAGAGGATGAAACAGGAAGGCGCTTCTAAGTGCAGTATATCCAGATCCATCTGGATATACTGCACTTAGAAGCGCCTTCCTGTTTCATTCTCTTGTAACAAAGTGGAAGCAACTGGGAACAGCAACTCGGCCACATAAAATGACAGAGTCTGTCAGTGCATGCTAAAGCACACAGTGCGCTGAAGTCGCCAACTGTCTGCAGAATCAATAGCTAAAGACCTCCAAACTTCATGTGGCCTTCAGATTAGCACAACAACAGTGTGTAGAGAGCTTCATGGAATGGGTTTCCATGGCCGAGCAGCTGCATCCAAGCCTTACATCACCAAGTGCAATGCAAAGCGTCAGATGCAGTGCTGTAAAGCACGTTGCCACTGGACTCTTGAGCAGTGAAGACATGTTCTTTGGAGTGTGGAATCACACTTCTCTGTCTGGCAATCCGTTGAATGTGTCTGGGTTTGGCGGCTGCCAGGAGAATGGTACTTGCCTGACTGCATTGTGCCAAGTGTAAAGTTTGGTGGAAGGGGGATTATGGTGTGGGGTTGTTTCTCAGGGGTTGGGCTTGGCCCCTTGGTTCCAGTAAAGGGAAATCTTAGGGCAACAGCATACCAAGATATTTTGGACAATTTCATGAGCCCAACTTTGTGGGAACAATTTGAGGATGACCCCTTCCTGATCCAACATGACTGCGCACCAGTGCACAAAGCAAGGTCCATAAGGACATGGACGAGCAAGTATGGGGTGGAGGAACTTGACTGGCCTGCACAGAGTCCTGACCTCAACCCGATACAACACCTTTGGGATATATTAGAGCAGAGACTGCGAGCCAGGCTTTTTTGCCCAACATCAGTGCCTGACTTCAGAAATGTGCCTCTGGAAGAATGGTCAAACATTCCCATAGACACACTCTTAAACTTTGTGGACAGGCTTCCCAGAAGAATTGAAGCTGTTATAGCTGCAAAGAGTGGGCCAACTCAATATTAAACCCTATGGACGAAGACTGGGATGCCATTGCCAAGTGATTCTAAAGGTTTTTGTTTTTTTTTATAACATAAACATGCTATACTTACCTGCTGTGTACAGTGGTTTTGCACAGAGCAGCCTGGATCCTCTTCTTTTCGGGTGCCCCGCAGTCTCTCCTGGCCCCTCCCTCCTGTCAGGTGGCCCCACAGCAAGCAGCTTGTTATGGGGGCACCCGCTTCTCCATGTGTCCATATACACATGGAGCCACGGCTTGGCCCAGCCTCCCCTCATTGGCTCACTGGCTGTGATTGCAGTCTCAGCCAATGAGGAGGCAGAGACCCGGGACAGCCGAGGCTGTTGTTCACATCGCTGGATCACGATGAGGCTCAGGTAAGTATTGAGGGGTCTGGAGGCACTGCTACACACTGCTGAGCCTTTACAACTAACCACTCATGTGCGTGTAAAGGCAGGCATCCCAATACTTTTAGTATTATAGTGTATACACCAGACCATGCATATTTAATCTTCGAAATACAACTCAGCTGCATCATCTTGGCAAGCCACTACATATACAGGTAGTTCTCGAGTTACGAACATTTGACTTATGTATGATTCCTATGTACAAATGGGGTCAGTGTGTAGTCACTTTCATGCTGCTTGTGCTCCATGCTGGTCCCGAAAACTGCTGGGCGTCCATCTTGCTGCTCACCACATGCAAGCGCCTACTGTCTGGCAGACCTGTCAGCAATCCGGCATCATTGCATAGCCAGAAGCAGCCAGAATGTGTGGAACTGGTGAGACAAGGTTTATAACAATCCCAGCTACCTCCGTTGTCCCCCAGGCTGGAAGAACCTGTGCATTGTGGGCATTAC